ACCTGTGGGAGATTAGTCATGAAACAGGCTTCGAGACTTGACTTTCTCATGGCCTTCAAGTCATCTTCACGCGTTCTTGATGAGTGGTTCTTGATGAGAAGGATCTTCCATGTTACGAACATTGACATCACTCATCATACACCACTCATCAATACACCACTCATCATACACCACTCATCAATACACCACTCATCAAACACGGCTCATCAATACACCACTCATCAAACACCACTCATCATACACGGCTCATCAATACACCAGCCATCTAAAGTTGTACTACAAAGTCGCCAGTTCTCAGCTTCCAGCTCCCCAGATTGCTCCGCGTACTAAAGTTGTACTACAAAGTCGCCAGTTCTCAGCTTCCAGCTCCCCAGATACTCCGCATACTAAAGTGCTTTCATCGACCAATAATCCGGCACATGTTTGAAAGCCATCTTTGCAAAGTCGGTGATGCGCGAAAACCTGACAAAGGCCAGGCCGCACATCTGCCTGAAAGGCGACCAACTCGGCTCGTGTTCCATGTTGAAGACACAGCCGGAGGACAGGGTCAAACCTTGGCTTTTGTGAACCGTCATACCATAGCACAAAACCAGAGGAAACTGTGCGCGAGCGAGGCCACGAAACTTTTCGTGTCCATTAGTTTGCTTTGGGACGCACACCCATGTCGGGTGTCCTGCCACCATGCGCGGACCAACGTACCCTGGGAAATCAATGACGACGTATTCTGCGGCAGTTGCAGACACGCCCCCAACTTCAGCCGCGGACGCTCCCGGCTCGACTCGATCATCGCTCACGGCGGGTTCCTGCTCCGCCGGCAGGGCACCATTCACCAAGTTCCACACAGTCCGCAAGTTCATGGTCAACATAGGTCAACATAACCGGAGCCCCTTCCGCCAAATGCAGCACCCGCTTCAATCCTCCATAATTTTCACTGGTGTAACGCTCCACTCCAGGAGTGCTGTCATTGGACCAAACACGAAGAATAGTAGAGTTTTTTTGGCTGCGACGTCTTCGCCTAGACGTCGGCCGTTGAATTGTCCGGCGCGGCGGTTCTCGCAAAACAAGTGCACTCATTTGCCTTCGAAAAACTTCCGTTCCTCCACGGTCAAAGTGCAAGCTGCCAAATCAGTCAAATCGTGGGACTTCCAAAGCTGAACATCTTCTTTCGCGCGCGCTGCGTCCCGCAGTCGCAACAGGGATTCCTTATAGAGTGACTGGCCCACCTGCCGGTGAATCCGTCGAAGTCGAAACACTACCCGAATCTGCTGAAACAACCGCAAGCCAAGGTTCACATAGCGCCGATCTTGGCCTACAGATTTTGCCTTGGAACACAACAGCGTCCACTGCGACAAGCGCCCGACTGGACGACAGCACGCGGGGCAGGTCCAGCAAAACACGCCACGCCTCAAAGGAACAAATTTCCTCCACAACAGCTGAGTGAATGAAGAGCTTCGACAGAAGAGATGCAACGGTCATTGTCTCACGATCTCCCATGTTCACAAAATGCTGCGCCCGCCACGAAATCTGCACGTGGAGCTTCACAAAGCGCTGCGCCTGCCACGAAAGCTTGCACATGGAGGTTCACAAAGCGCTGCGCCTGCCACGAAATCTGCACATGGAGGTTCACAAAGCGCTGCGCCTGCCACGAAATCTGCACATTCACAAAGTGCTGCGCCTGCCGAAATCTGCACGTGGAGGTTCGCAAAGCTGCACATGGAGGTTCACAAAGTGCTGTGCCTGCCACGAAATCTGCACATGGACCTTCACAAAGTGCTGCGCCTGCCACGAAAGCTTGCACACGGAGGTTCACAAAGCGCTGCGCCTGCCACGAAATCTGCACATGGAGGTTCACAAAGTGCTGCGCCTGCCACGAAATCTGCACCTCGAGCTTTGCAAAGCGCTGCACCTGCCACGAAATCTGCACATGGAGGTTCACAAAGTGCTGCGCCTGCCACGTAATCTGCACATGGCGGTTCACAAAGCGCTGTGCCTGCCACGAAATCTGCACCTCCAAGCGCTGCGCCTACCACGAAATCTGCACTTGGAGGTTCACAAAGCGCTGCGCCTGCCACGACATCTGCACATGGAGGTTCACAAAGCGCTGCGCCTGCCACGAAATCTGCACATGGAGGTTCACAAAGCGCTGCGCCTGCCACGAAATCTGCACATTCACAAAGTGCTGCGCCTGCCGAAATCTGCACGTGGAGGTTCGCAAAGCTGCACATGGAGGTTCACAAAGTGCTGTGCCTGCCGCGAAATCTGCACAAAGTGCTGCGCCTGCCACGTAATCTGCACATGGAGGTTCACAAAGTGCTGTGCCTGCCGCGAATTCTGCACATGGACCCTCACAAAGCGCTGCGCTTGCCACGTAATCTGCACATGGAGGTTCACAAAGTGCTGTGCCTGCCACGACATCTGCACGTCTAATCACGATGGAGGGACGATTCCGAGCATGATCCGACCATGATCCGAGAATGACCCGAGACCGTCTCGCAACCGTCGTTCCGCAGAGCTAGACTTGCCAGGATCGAAGCCACCGGTTCTACTGAAAAATACAGCATTTCGTGCATCCGCTATCTCTCGAAAACGCATTTTGTATTGCGCCTGCCACGAAATCTGCACATGGAGGTTCACAAAGTGCTGTGCCTGCCACGAAATCAGCACATGGAGCTTCACAAAGTGCTGCGCCTGCCGCGAAATCTGCACCTCGAGGTTCACAAAGCGCTGCGCCTGCCACGAAATCTGCACATGACCCGAGCATGACCCGAGAATGACCCGAGACCGTCTCGCAACCGTCGTATGATGAGTGGTGTATGATGAGTGGTGTATTGATGAGTGGTGTATTGTATTGATGAGTGGTGTATGATGAGTGGTGTATGATGAGTGGTGTATTGATGAGTG